GTCGTCCTAGTTGTTCTAGTTGTCCGACTTGTCATAGTTGTCCTTGTTTCTCACAGTTGTCCCAATTGTACCAATTGTCCACTTTATTCTATTTTGCCTAAACCCTGTCATAGTTGCACATAATTGTCCTAGTTGCAAGATACATAGTATTGCAAGAAATCTAAGATAATTAAAATATTCCTTAGGCCTAGCTCTCACCGCCCTGACCGCTCTGACCGCCTTGACCGCTCTGACCGCTCTGACCGCTCTGACCGCCCCTTGGGTTTGGTGGTTGAAACCAACGGCCAATGTTTGTGTTTGGGTTGGCCTTCTGACTCCTGCGAGCTTCTCCGGTGGAAGGAAACCGCTTCTCCCTCTTTCTTCCTGCTTTTTTGGTGTAGTCTGGTGGGTAAACAACTAAATTAGCTACCTCCTCCGGAATAATCCAAGTAGAATGATGCGGCACCATATAGATGGTTCTGTGGTAAGCCATCGCCCAAGTATCAATCAAGTAGTATCTCGAGCATAAATCGAAAATGTGTAAGTCTCTTCTTCTTGAGGACGTCCGCATCATTGCAATGGTTGCGGCTATTGCATGAACACATGGAATCTTATCAATATCAAACATGCGACAACCACAACTTTTTGTTTCCAAATTAACCAGATAGCTCTTCCCATCAACTCCAACAACACAGTATTCAAGCCCAGGTAGATTTAGCTCAGTCACATCTAATTTGGTCGCAATTGCACATTGTTTATGCAACTCGTTTTCCACATACGGCACCAGTTTCTTCGAATATGATGCACCAGCTATGTTATTCCTATGCCTGTTGAACCATTTAGACACTTTCTCAACATACGCATCAATCAAAGGCAATAGTGCATACTTTCTCGCCTTCTTGAAGATGCTGTTCATTGATTTACAGGCATTGCCTGTGTCCAAGTTATACTTGTCCCCTTTAAAATTCCACCGTGCCCATTTATCAAGAGGAAGACCATTCTCTAAGTACTCCGCAGCTTTGGGAAACATTCTACCAAATTCGGTGTATGCAATTAGAAACTCACTTTCGGTGTACTTATGAGCGCACTCAATGAATTTTTTAGAACACAAATCCTTCCAACCATTGGCTGCTTTACCCCTCACATTACGAGACAAGTGCCACACACAAAATCCATGCTGAGACAGAGGGTATACCTCCTGCACTGCCTTCGTTATGCTTGTGTGTCTGTCACTCATAAAAACGATCTCAGGATTATCTGGTATAACAGTTTTCAGCATTTCTAAAAACCACCTCCAACTAGAGTCTTTTTCACTATCGATTACACCCATTGCAATAGGGTAATGGTGATGATTAGGATCTTGAGCCGTGGCAAATACTAGCATACCACCATAAACATTTTTAAGAAAAGTCGCATCCACCACTATGACTTTCCTCATTGAACTAAAGCCTTCAATGCTGGCACCCAAAGCAACAAAAAGATACTTGAACTTATTATTAGCATCCACTTTCAGGCTCGTCACTGTTCCGGGGTTCACCAGCTTCAACACATACAGATAAGAATGCAATCTTTGAAAGCTTTCTTCCGGACTACCCCTCACTTGACTAATCGCCAGTTTTTTTCCTCTCAACGCAGTAGAGTAGGACACATTCACATGAGCTTCATTTTGAACAACCTTCACAATACTTCTAGGAGCCGGTGTGTCCACTACACCTGGATACGATGCACGCAAAACATCTGCTACAACTTGTGGAGTACCTTTTCTTTTGTTCTCAATTGTGCTGGTAAGGACCCGAGAGCAACTATGCATTTTCCTGTATACTCTAAGGCTGAAGTAAGTTGAATCCTTCATTCTTACAGCATGTATATACCATGAACAACCATGTTCAGCTTGACGGCATCTAAGACTGAGTCGGCCAGGATCAGACTTCACTGTTTTAACCTCAAAACATCCCTTATACGAAGCTCTGCCAACCAATACTCGCAACGCCTCTTTCGATCGAAATTCTTGATTTTTCTCAAAACCAGCACCATCTTCCCATTCAATAACAAACTGAGTCGGTTCTGAAGCCCCAGCAGGCTCAACGTGATCATGCTCATCCATATCATACTCTGCAGGCTCTTCTAAACCCTGATCATCCGGTTGTGAAACAGTATCATCAATCACTATCTGTGTCTCAGTCTCAGGTACAGCCACAATAGCAAGTTCGTCATGTTCTTTCGCTGCTTCTACGATTTCAAGCATGATATCGCCTGTTTCTAGCTCTTGAATCTTATCTCTTTCCAAATCTTCCATTATCTCCACATGCAACAGAGATCTAAGTCCCTCTTTATCCACAGTTGTTAGATAGACATACACATCACCATCATCAACAATGCATGACTCATTGAGTGGCTTAGCTACCAACGGAATGTAGCTTAACTTGAGCTTCTTCTCACTATCGTTTACCCCAATTTTCTTGCATATACCATCTACCACCATCGAATATGTTACCTCATCCAAAGAGGTTTTAAATGATATAGCATAGATGGAGCTTCTTGATATCCATTTAAACTCCTCTCCTTCCTTATAATAACATCCTCCATACTCAAAATGTATGTTTGTGTGGCCGCTCATCTTCTTCTGTTCACAAAACCAAAAAAACTAAGTCATTAACGAATAACAATGTTTCCTTTTTTCCCATAGTTGTACCAATTGTCCCAGTTGTCCCACTTATCTCAATCAGTTATCCCAATTGTACCAGTTGTCCCAATACATTCCGGGTCCCAATTGTCCCAATTATCCTTATTGTCCCATTCCTGAAAAGTTAACCAATTCAACTCAGTTATCCCAATTGTACCAGTTGTCCCATTCCATTCAGTAAACCGAGTTGTACCAGTTGTCCCATTCCATTTACTTACCCGAATTGTACCGGTTTTCCCATTACATTCAGTTATCCCAATTGTACCAGTTGTCCTTTTCCATTCAGTTAACCCAATTGTACCAGTTGTCCATTTCCATTCAGTTAACCTAATTGTACCAGTTGTCCCATATCTCACTGATTCACTTTACAAACCTCCGATTCAGCTCGATTCAACGGCAACAAGTTAAATTTTAACACTCAGAAGACTAAATCGACATATATACGCCACTCTACTATCCAATGTGCAACCTAAAACGACCGGAATTGACAAATCGATTACTAAACCCTAATCCCCAAACTGTAGAAGAAGTTACCATATTACCAAACGACGGCTCTGCACCGAGATTTGCCGAACACCACGGGTTCAGAGAAGGCCGGCGCACCGCGCCGAGCGATAAAAAACGAAAACGGATAGAAGATTCGATCGGACGATTTCTGGGAAGAATTTTCGATTTCGGATTTCGGTTCAATATGTTAACCCATAATTTCGGGTTATGGGAAGAAACCAGATTCGGTTTTGGTTTTATAATTTTCCAATTTTCATTTCTCAACTTTTTCGATTTTTTAAATAAAAGAAAACAAAGACAATCAGCAATGCCATATTTACTTTTCATTAAGGGCATTTTCGAAAAATCATGTCCTTTATAACACTCAGATTAATTTATGGCAGGGTAGATTAATTTTTTTTCATTTGTGACTTCTCAGCCATTCTTTCATATAACAGCAGCAAAATATCTTTTTTCTTTTTTTCTTTTTTAAAAGCTCATAATTCATAATAGGCAAAATTAGTCAGCGTCACATTTAATACATTTGAAAAATTAATATTGCATTTACACAAATAAATACATAAACAGATGTAATATTTCAAATTTCAATATTCAATCAGAGATCCATTTTTCGTTTGGTAACTTTTTGAGGGTTTAAGGGTTGGAGGAATAATTTGAAGGAAAACTACGGTTGCATGTTTGTAAAATTAGTGGTTCATTTTCACGGTGCATAATTTGTTATAGAAACTTTTCACCAAGTAAAATAATATGATAAATTTTAAAATCACACGCAAAATCTACGCTATTTAAAATCACACGGAAAAATGAATCACAATAATTACTGGAATATTATCGTCAAGCATAGTCAGCTAATGGTATTAATCTTAATTTTCATTTTGAGTGTTCGGTATATTATTTTCCTTTTTTGTATCAGATAATCAGATTTATATATATCATAGATGAGTAAGCAAGCAGGTACAAACATACTATAATTGAATGAGGACGTATTGTCATTTGTCAACATGCAATGCTTTATTTGGTTAGGTGAAGAAAGACAAAAGCAACATTTGCCGTTCTTGATTCTAATTTTTAATTTAACTTATCATAAGATTAAATTCGTGTCCTTTAACATAAAATATATATTAAATTAGTGTCCCTTCTTATTGGCTTATATGAAAGACATCCACATATCCACCGGAATTGCCAACATAAAAGTGTACTACAAATATCATTTTTCTAGTTACGAAAACAAACATATGTGCTTTGAAAATATAATAAGAATAAAAATCATTTTGTAATATTTTGTTCCACTCGAGTAGGAGATGGCTTCTGTAAGAAAGAAGCTTTAGAGTTTAGAACTTTAGATGTCGTTAAATAATTAAGATAAAGAAGAAGAAAAAAAAGCCAAAACATGTTAACGCGATTTATGTTCTAGATAGAATGTGAAATCAATCTAGAAAGCCAAAAACATAAAATAAAGCATTAGAAAGCGAACAAAAAATACACCACTAGGCTTTTCTCAGACTTTTTTTTTTTTGACAACCGGCTTTTCTCAGTCTCTATCTTCGTCTATGCTAAAAAAAAAAAACAATTTGCACCATAAAGATTAAACAAAAATACTAAAATAGTAGTGTGATCATATTCAGTTAAATTTTGAGAATCCAATGTTACCAAATTATGTTAGATACTCGAACACAAAACCAGTAATTTATGGAAATGTCATTTTCTTTTCGATTTCCAGAATTTATATCTTTCTTGGGTCAAAAAAGAATTAAAAAGACAATCAGAGTTTCTCAATCAAAGCCACATCTCACTCCTCTCAATTTTTTTTTTTTTGAAAAAACAATCTCACGCGCTTATACTTACTCTCTTCTCTCCTCTTCCTCTGCCTAAAACCCCATAAATGATTCATAAAGAAATATATCATTTTTCTTACTCTGACAAAAGAAAAAAACTAATCTAAACTTCCTCGATTTAAGGGAATCTATAATCTCCGGAGACAGATTTCATTTCTGCATCCTCCATTCATCCATTGATTTGAAGGGTTTCTCGAAATAGGTAACAAGTTCGAGACTTTTGCAACCGCGTGAAAACACCAAAACCAAAGTGTGTAGCTTCCGAAAATGTGATTTTTGAAGACAGCTCATTACTCTGTCAACTTCAACAATTTACTTGTTGTGTTTAAGTATCGAAGCCGAAGCAGGTACACCCAATAACTTGGTCTGAAAAAAAAAACACGGAGGTATGTTTGGAATCAATGGTACTTTGCTTCATCGGCTGATTTGTCTCGGCCTCTGGTGGTCTTTGTTCGGCGGAGGAGAGACGGTGGTAATGGCGGAGGATGAGGCTAAAGACAGAGCGCTTAATCAGACACCGACTTGGGCTGTTGCAGCCGTCTGCACTTTCTTCATCGTTGTCTCCGTTGTTCTTGAGAAGCTGATTCACAAAGTTGGAACGGTATGATAAGTCTCTTTTAGTTTTATGTTGAATTCCAGGACTTTATGGAAATGGGTTCTCTTTGATTCGAGAAAAGGAACTATCTTTGTCTTTTAGATTTTAGGTTTATGTTCGTATTTGAATTGGGTATTTGTCTTGAAGCGAAACTTGTTCTTGATTTTAGGTTCTATCGGACCGGCACAAGAAAGCTCTTCTCGATGCCTTGGAGAAGATCAAATCAGGTGAAAATTACAATGTTTTCGATTAATTTGTTCATTTCTGTTCTGTTTTGGAATTTCTAAAATCTGAGTCTTGCCACAAGTAAAGAGCTTTACTTGGCCAAAGACTTTGACTGAAAGTTTCAATTTCTCCATTGTAAGTTCTCAATATGAATTGTTTCCTCTATGTTGCAGAGCTGATGATTCTTGGATTCATCTCTTTGCTTCTGACATTTGGACAAAACTACATTTTGAAGATTTGTATCCCTTCACATGTTGCTCATACGATGCTCCCGTGCCCTGCTCCTACTGCATGGAAAGAGGAGGAGGATGAGAAAGGGGAAGGTCACAGGAGACTCTTGTGGTTTGAGCACAGATTCCTATCAGGAGATGAACCACCTTCCAAAAGATGCGAAGAGGTGGGATTTATGTTTTCATTATCGTCTTGTAGCTCCAAAAATTGTAGCTGACATACCGTGTTGTTAGTGTAGGGTTATGAACAGCTTATCTCTGCCAAGGCGCTTCATCAGCTGCACATCCTCATATTCTTCTTAGCCATTTTACACGTTCTCTACAGCTTCTTAACCATGATGCTTGGGAGGCTAAAGGTACTTAGAAAATTCGCTTCTTTGGACAATTATCAGCCTTATTTTTTCAGTAATTTTAAAGAACGTGAGTCTTTTCAGATGCGTGGATGGAAGCATTGGGAGAAAGAGACATCTTCCCACGATTACGAGTTTTCAACAGGTGATCATATCTTGTAGTCTTTGTCTTTGTGGTTTCTTGAGCTCTGATTATTGACTCCTATGTTGTTGCTGTTCTTGGTTTCAGATACTTCCAGATTTAGGCTAACTCATGAAACGTCTTTTGTAAGAGCGCACACTAGTTTCTGGACTCGGATTCCATTCTTTTTCTATATTGTAAGAATTATCACCATCTTTTTCTCTACTCTCTGCTTAGTCAATTCTTGATCTGGTTCTCACTTTCGGTTAATACAATGCGTTTCAGGGATGTTTCTTCAGACAGTTTTTCAGATCTGTTGGGAAAACTGACTATTTGACATTGCGAAATGGATTCATCACTGTGAGTTTTTAAACTTATAAATGCATTTGTCGATTTAGTATCACGTCGTTCTTGCTAAGAGACTCTTTTTGTGGTTTATGAAGGTTCATTTTGGTCCAGGAGCTCAATTTAACTTCCAAAAATACATAAAAAGATCGTTGGAGGAGGATTTCAAGCTGGTTGTTGGAGTCAGGTAACTTCTTAAGACTCTCTGCAAACAAGGATGATTAACTTCTTTTTAATACAAACACTAATGGTTGGTTTTTGTTACAGCCCGGTCTTGTGGGCATCGTTTGTGCTATTCCTACTCCTAAATGTTGAAGGTGAGAATCCGAGTATATTAGAAATTTTTGAGTGGACTGTGTTTTGATCCTCTTGCTTGGTATTTTAGGCTTCAAGGCATTGTATTTCGGAACTGCATTGCCGGTTATTGTAAGATATCTTTCTCTTGGTTCTTTGAAATGTTCCAAATAGAAGTTGTCTTTTAAGGACTTCTTCATTCACAGTTTTTGATAAACTTGTTGGTTTTTTTTCAGATAATTCTAGCTGTGGGGACGAAACTTCAAGCGATCATGGCAAGGATGGCTATGGGGATCACCGATAAACATGCAGTTGTTCAGGGAATGCCGCTTGTACAAGGCAACGATGAGTATTTCTGGTTCCATCGTCCCCAACTGATTCTCCATCTCATCCATTTCGCCTTGTTTCAGGTATGCTTAGAAACAGAGTAATCACACAACACAACCACAAGTTTCTCTCCTTTCTGATTTCATATTTTGCTGAATGTTTTCCTTTTTCTTGCAGAACGCTTTTCAGATTACATATTTCTTCTGGATATGGGTAACACCAACTTAAGATTTTTCTTGTTTTTTGTTGGTGTGGGGATTTCCTTTTTCACAAGAATGACTAATCCTCTGTTTGTAATTCAGTATTCTTTTGGAAAAGATTCATGCTACCATCCTAACTTCAAGATTGCCCTTGTAAAAGTAGCAATAGCGTACGAATCTAATCTCAGATACATAGAAGGTATTGAATATGTTTGCACAAACACATAAACTTAGACTAATCTTGTTTCTTGTTTTTTTTTTGTTCTTGAAGTGTAGGAGTATTATGCCTTTGCAGCTACATCACACTCCCTCTTTATGCACTCGTTACTCAGGTAACTTTCCTTTGTTCATAACCTAAAACAGGATCGAACTTTTTAAACTGAGAAAATCTGCGTAATCACAGATGGGTTCGCGGATGAAGAAATCGGTTTTCGATGAACAAACATCGAAAGCGCTCAAGAAATGGAGAATGGCTGTGAAGAAGAAGAAAGGAGGGAAAGCGAGGACCACCAAGAGACTAGGTGGAGATGGAAGCGTGAGCCCTACGGCATCAACGGTTAGGTCTTCTTTGTCCGTACGGTCATTGCAGCGTTATAAAACCACAGGACATTCGATGAGATACGAAGGGCTTGAACCTGAGACATCATCGGATCTAGACACTGACAACGAGGCTTTGACTCCACCTATGTCACCAAATGTCGAGCTTGTTGTGAAGGTTGATCAAGATAAGATGGAGACCAAGACCGGTGAGACTAGCCGTGCCGGTGAAAATCATTCTAAAGAGTTCTCTTTTATCAAGCCTGCACCGAGTAAAGAACCATCGTCGTAAAGAACCGTTACTACGGATATATATTTATTTGAATGCATTTGTAAATCAATGCCATGGTGAAAAAGTAAAGTATTGACGACCATATTAATTAAATTAGTGTTTTGTCTTTGCCATTGCTATCATTGTCGTCCATAATCGGTTATTAGAGAGATGTGGGTTAAGAACATGAGGGGCGAATAGTCAGAAGTAATTTTCATCAACTTCTCAAATCGCTCTCAGTCTTCGTTACATTTTGTTTTGTAATGCATAATCGAAATAACATAATGTTGGTTTGATTTTTCTACTAAACCAACATCGAATTGACATGACACATTACAGAACAATACTTGAAGATCATTAATTCTAACATCATCTTTATTATATTATAATTTTCATAATTTTATCACAAAAAAGAATTTTTGCATGGCTTAAAATTTTGGGAGAATTTCAGATTTAACCCATATTTCAAAGTCAAACACCAAATTAACCTCTTTTTTTTCTCTCTCTAACTTTTGTCATTTTCTCACAGTTTTATCTTTCCCACTTAAACTATTAACGAAAATGCCATTATACATCTATTATTTCGATTTTTCTTTAATTTGGCTAAAGTCTCCTTGGACCTTCTAAATACCTTTTAATTACGAGAATGCCATCTTCTTCAATTTCTTCAACCACCATGAACAACCATGAAAATGGAATAAATGCTTCTCAACCAATTTTAAAGTTGTAATAAGTAAATATCTGAGCTCATTCACTCATAACCTTCCTCATTCTTTCATAATTTCTTCTCCAAAACATCTGGGCTAAGTTACAATGCCAAAAATCATGTATTTTCGGTGATTTCTGGTTACTTGACATCTGGGTTGTTTATTTTTGTTGAAATCCTGAGTTCTGGGTGCTTAAAAGAACTGTAGCCGAGCTCAATTTTGTTAAAGGTAATCGTCGCACTTCAATTTCTCCATATTTCAGTTTTCATATCGCGAAAGTAGACTTCTCGTGAAGTATACTGAAGTCTACTAGTCAACATAAGGTTATTTTTGCAATTGACCTTTTAAAAGTAGACTTCATTAAACCTCACGAGAAGTCTACTCGATATCCTTTGAAAGCAAAAAAAAGCATAGTAGACTTCAAATGAAGGCTTAAGAAGTCTCTACGAAAGAAAAGAGGTTATTTTTGTAGTTGACCGTATTTTGACTTTTTAATGTAGACTTCTTTCTAAAGTCTACTGTTTACGTCTGCACAAGAAGTCTACTTTTAAGTTACTTTTGTAGTTTGACCAAAAACGTATAGGTCATTTTAGTGTTTGACTAAAGTTTTTTAAAAAATAAAAAATTCAGAAAACTCTGGAAAGCTGCAGTAGACTTCAGAAAGAAATCTAAAAACTGTAGACTTCTTTGGGAAGTCTACTTATATTTTTCGGTCAAACTTAGAAGGAATCTTTTTTTGAGTAGACTTCACAGTGAAGTCTACTAAAGATTGTCAATTGCAAAAATAACCTATTTTTTTTCGTAGACTTCTATTGAAAAAGTAGACTTCAAAAGTAGACTGTCAGAGAAGTCTACTCTTACATGAAGTCTACAATAGAAGTCTACTTTGTTAGTCAATGGCTTGGTTAAATGCTAAAGTAACCTTTTTGGCCGGAAGTCTACTTCTGAAGTCTACTGAAGGAAAAGTCAACGGATTGGTCAATTGCAAAAATAACCTGTTTTTTAGTAGACTTCTTTAGTAGACTTCACTATGAAAAAGTAGTCTTCTCCTCCAGTCTACGTTTGAAGTCTGCTTTAGAAGTCTACTTATTGCAATTTTTTTAAAAACGCTTTTTAGGCAAATTTATAAAGTATTTTTTAAAAATTTTGGATTAGAATTGGTTCTTAGTAAGTGATTGAACTACCCAGTGAATTTCATTTCATTTCATTCGATATTTATTGTTGAATCAGAAGTTTTGATTTTTAAGCTACTTAGCTTATCAAAGTAGACTTCAGTAGACTTCTCCTGAAGTCTACTAATGAAGTCTAATTGGGAAGTCTACTATTTGTATTTATTTTAAAAACGCTTTTCAAAAATATTTATAATGTTTTTTAAAATTTTTAGGTTTGGATATGCGTGTTAGCAAGTGGTTGAACTACTCAATGATTTTCATTTGATTTAAGTCGATAATTAGTGTGAAATCAATTTTTTTGATTTATAAGCTAGTTAGCTTGTAAAAGTAGACTTCTCCAGCAGTCTACGGATGAAGTCTGCACACGAAGTCTAATTGCTAGAAAAATTTGTGTTCTATGTGTTTGCCATAATTTGGTTTATAATTATGTTTGCTAATATGATTTTTTGTGTTTTTTGATATAGAATAGTTCAATTGAAAATAGGAGATGGAAGAGAACTTGTATTTTGTGCAATGTTTTTGTATTCTTGTTTACAAGTTAACATTTATAGCACATACAAAATGAAGTCACAAAAGTTGATATTACATACAACATTAAGTTGATAAAGTGACATAAGCTGATTTAAAACATTGTCTTGGACACTTGGTAAAAGACAATATGTGCAGTCAAGACTTTTGATCATGTTTAAGGTTTGTTATCATACCCCTTAAAAAGATAAACTGAAAAGATCTTCATATATTAACATCAATTTGCATTACATGATGCATATGTTTTACAATTTTTCATATTGATATTCTGCTTAATGACTATAACAAGAAAAACCAGAATAGACAAAGGATTAAGTTAAATAGACCCAAAAAAACAGTGCACGTAAGTGCTCATGCCATAAGACGCCGATGCTCCACATATCTGCTTCAGTGCTATAAGACCTATGGAGTACTTCAGGTGCAACATAGTACGCACTTCCTACAACATCATTGAGACGCTGATCTGCAAATATAAAAGATTAATTCATCAGAAAACTTTACTGTCAAAGCCTGACTTCTATATGCAGAATCATGTAATGAGAAAGAGGAACAAGGAAATAGATCACTACCGTATCTAATGAAATCAGACAAGCCAAAATCAATGACCTTGAGTATTGCATCCTCATTTCTGCTGGTAAAGAGAAAATTCTGCTTACAAAAATGTACCATATGTTAGAGCAAAGAAGAGGGAGTTAATTGATATATATCAGCAATTTAGTGGGGCAAACTGTGTACCTCCGGCTTCAGATCACGGTGCACAACACCTTGAAGGTGAAAAAATGCTGTTGCAGACAAAATCTGTACAAGAATACGTTTGGCATCGACTTCAGGGTATCGACCACCTCTGCAGTAATATCCAAGACAATAACACAAGGTTAAACCCATATTCAATGCAAAGCTAACAAGCCTGAGTAGTCCGAATTTAAGCAAGAAGATTCAAAAAAAAAATGTACTCTGGATTTACCTCGCCAAAATCCTGTCCAATAGCTCTCCACCTTCGCATAACCTGAGAGCATATTAGAGAGGAAGATTGAATATCTCAAGTCGACTCATTTATTTAGTTTGGTTGCTATATATCAAATTATTATCAAGGAACAATGTAGAGTTAGACTACTTACTCCATAACAACAAAGACATTATCAGCGTCCTCGTATACATCGTAGAACTTTACCATATGCCTATGCCCAGACAAAGCTTCCAACAGTTTCACTTCTCGACGAACATCTTCAATCGATAAAGCCGATGTCATCTGAAAAGAAAAACGCCACAAACCCAATTCATCATCGTAATATCTCTATAATATATACAAACCAATAATCTACATTCCATCAATTAGAGAATAATGTACTCAAAACGAGATCTTAAAAATGTATTAGAAATGTGATTATGTGGTGTGAACAGAAGTAACAAACACCTTAGCTTTAGAGATGATTTTGACGGCCACTGTTTGGCCCTTGATCTTCCCTTTCTTGGCCTTTGCCCAACAAGTATGACCGAAATGCCCTCGCCCTACCTCCTTCCCAAGCTCGTACTTTCCTTCAAAGTTCTTCCCGAACCCGAAATTCTTGTCTAGCCTCTCTCCGCCGCCGCTTTCTCCTCCGACGTCTACGTCTTCGCTGTCCTCCGGGATCGAATGAGGAGGAGAAGCTCCTCCACGCGCCACCGCCGAGACTGAGCTGTTCACCGCCACCGCTCTAATCCGAACTCCAGTTCACTCTCATCCGGAAGATTAATCTTCCCCACTTCGGATTCTAACCTGTCACGCATGTCAATTAAGAATCCAAATATATGGAAGAGAGAGAGTCTTTCAACGGACAACCAAAGAGAGTAACGATGGTTTACCATTTAGTGCCGGCGACCAACGAGAAATCCGGCAACGAGGAGGGAACCAGCTGCGGCAATGAAATCGCCCCTTAGATGTCGCAAACAACGAGTGATGCGCCGTTTAAGAGAGAGGCGGGAGTTTTTTTTCCACTAAAAAATTAGGGTTACATCTTATATATATGACTAATATTTTTTGGTTTAATTTCGGTTTAATTTTTGGTTAGGAAAATTATTTTCAGTTTAATTTCCGGTAAAGTTAATTTATTCGGTTTAACAGACTTCCATATTGAAGTCTACTAAGTGTAAACCCTAAATCAAATATTTTGTTCTTCTTAATTTGAAATCATAAATTTAAACTTATGAATATAAAAAAATAATTTATATACATTAGGATTACTAATATCTAATTTATGATTACAAATTTGAAATTAATATTATTTTTAATAATTTTTAAAATTAAATTTTATGATTTAATTAAATAGTAGACTTCATAAGCTGTGTTAGAAGTCTACTAGTAGACTTCTATTAGTCTAAAGTAGACTTCACCAGGGTTTAAATCGTAATTCGGACATCCGTTTTTTTATTTAGTCATACAAGAGTATATTGTCTTTTCACTACCCCTTTAGGTTATTTTTGTTAAACATTACATCAAGGGTCTACTTTTGTATTTAAAATCAATTTTTAGGTCATTTTTAGCAAAAACCCCTAAAATTTTAGAGTTTTATAATATTGAGATGAGGAAAATAAAAATAATTTTAAAACTCTAATTAGAATTACACAATAGTGACAGACAAAACAGAAAAGCACAAGAAATAAAAACTTAACAGAAATTAATAACATAATTAAAAGATATTTATTGTTATATAGAAATACTAATAATGATAATTAACAAAATACAGACATATTAACACAATACAAACATAAGCAAAACAACTATTAAATTAGGAAAATAAATTTATCAAATAAATTATTTTTTTCAAGAAATAGCACATAAAACATATAAAAACACGAACATAAATTAAAATCCACGCGAAACGCAGAATCAACCCCTAATCTATTATATAATGAGAGAGTTTTCTTTCTTCTTAGGGTGTCCACATCATCATCATTCAAAAAAAGAGAAAATATTTTAAATGTTTATTTATTTAATATATAATTACATTTACTACTATATTTCAAATCCAGATCAGTAAAATTTAATACTAGTCCATAAAATTAGAATGTAAATAGAATAAATATTAATTTATTTAAACTGGATTAAAAATATATTCATTTTATTAAAAACGATAAATTGTTAAAAATTGAAGGAAAATAGAAAAAGTTAGAGAAAACGACGATGACAAAAAGAATTAAAAAGATGAAAAAGAATTAAAAATTAGGGAAAGAAGAAAAGTTAAAATATAAAGAAGATGACGCATGTGAAGATGAAGTAAAAGAAGAAGAATAGATATACGAGATAAATAAAAATAAGAAAGAAAACAAAATTAGTAAAAGAAGATGAAGAAAAATTGAAAAAAAAAGAAGATAAAGAAAAACTATTAAAAAAAGAAGTAGAATTAAAAGTCAAAGACGATGAAGAAGAAGATGAAAAAAAAGAAGATAAAAAACAAGAGGAAAAAGAACATGAAGCTGATGAAGAGAAATTTTGGAAAATACGAAGACTAAGACATTAAAGACAAGGAAAGAGAGTGGAAAATGAAGATAACAAACTATGAGAATAAGAAGATGGAAAAAGAAAAAATAATTTAAAAAAAACAACAAATATGATGAATTAGCTGTTCAATGATTTGTAATGATACTGTTACTTCTTATCTCTTCTTTCAAATTAAACATCAACATATAAGTCCGTATGAAGCGTGTGGTCAATACCTAGTTTTAATAATAAACATTTTTAAGCAATGCAAAAGAGATTTGGGAATTCATTATCTCCTATAGCAACTCCCTTAGGTGAAAAAAATTCTTCATAATTATTTTCATGATAATCTTTACCTATTTCTTGAATTCAAAGCCATTCTGATATCCAACTTCTTTTCCACTTTTTATTGGATTTTGGAAAATGATGAATGTTTTTTTGAAGGGCATAGAAGAAGAAGAAAAAGATTCATTACTCTTCAAATGATCTGTTGTTTCTTGTTGTTTTTGGTGACAAAGATAACTAAAGAGGCTCTGCTAGAGCGAGTTGAATAATGTAACGAGCCAAAAGATTTCTAAGAAGATTGATTTTAAGCATTTTCAGAAAACAAATGAATTGTTTCAAAAGGTTTTGTAAGTTGGATATCTTGTTTTTCAGTTTTGATTGAGTAATTTGTTATTAAAAAATTTAATTTTAAAATTTGAAAAATTTGTTCTTTATGAACTTTTGAAATTTCTCAATTATCAATTGAACTTTGAAAATCATCTATAGTTGTTTTATGATTAGTGATGATCATTTTTGAGTTTCTAAGAGACTTCCTAGCAGACCTAGAAGAAAAGGCGAACTCGAATCTGTTTGATGTTGATCTATTAAATAAATTCTTTTTTAGTATGTTTAGAGAAAAATATTTATGACTTCTTACAATTCTGTCTAGCTACAATAAGACTTATAACTTTTTTTAGACTGGTTAAAACACTCACAACAATGAAACTTATAACTTTTTCTTAGATCGGCTAAAACATTCAAGATATAAAATTCTTCTCTCAAGAAACTAACAGTGAGATTAATAAAAATCACAAGAAACTTAAATATAAGACTCTTTATATATACGGTTTCTAACTATTTCTCTCACCCCAAACAGAGAGCATGACTCTGATACCATAAAAAACATTTATGTTTCTATTTTATATTTACAATTATGTTACAATTTATTATGATTTACTCTGTTTCTTATTATTTTTTTTTTTGACAAAGGTTCATTTTGTAATATTTGGTTCCGCTCGAGAAGAAGACAAACTGTAAGAAAGAGGAGGCTTTATAGTTTAGATGTTGTTAAATAACATTTAAAAACGAGGAAAAGCCAAAACATGTTTTAGATAGAATGTGAAATCAAATTAGAAAGCCAAAAACATAAAATTAAGCATTAGAAAGCGAATTTTTTTTAAAAAAAAGAAACACAAAGAATCTTTTTTTTTTGGGTTGAAAGCCAAATACTTTTGAGTATCATAAAATACAGTTTGAAACATAAAAATAAAACTAAAATACTAGAGTGATCGTTTCGACCAAAAAAAAAAAACTAGAGTGATCGTATTCAGTTAAATTTTGAGAATCCAATGTCACCGAATTATGTTAGATACTCGAATACAAAACTAGTAGTAGTTTGTGGAAATGTCATTTTCTTTTCAATTTCCAGAAATTAAATCTGTCTTGTGTCCAAAAACAATTAAAAGCAGGCAATCAAAGTGTTCATCCAGTCGACACACCCGAATCGTTTTTGCACCGTCCTCCATTAATTTAAAGGGGTTTCTCGAAAGAGGTAACAAGTTCGAGAGTGTTAGTTTCCGAAACGAAAGTGTTAGTTGAGAAGCTGATTCACAAAAGTAGGAACGGTATGAGAAGTCTCTGTGTTCTTTTGGATTTATTTTGAATTTGAGGACTTTATGGAAATGGGTTCTTTTTGATTCGAGAAAAGGAACTATCTTTGTCTTTTAGATTTTGGATTTATATTCATATTTGAATTGGGTCTATGTCTTGAAGTGAAACTTGTTCTTGATTTTAGGTTCTATGGGACCGGCACAAGAAAGCTCTTCTCGATGCCTTGGAGAAGATCAAAATCAGGTGAATATTACAATGTTTTTGATTAATGTGTCCATTTCTGTTCTGTTTTGGAATTCGTAAAATCTGAGTCTTGCCCCAAGTTAAGAGCTTTACTTGGCCAAAGACTTTTAACTGAAATTTCCAATTTCTTCATGTTAAGTTCTCAATATGAGTTGTTTCCTCTCTGTTGCAGAGCTGATGATTCTTTCATTCATTTCGTTGCTCCTGACTTTCGGAGAAAACTACATTTTGAAGATTTGTATCCCTTCACATGTTGCTCATACGATGCTCCCGTGCCCTGTTCCTACTCCATGGAAAGAGGAGGAGGATGAGAAAAGGGAAGGTCACAGGAAACTCCTGTGGTTTGAGCACAGATTTCTACAGGAGATTACCATCTTCTAAAAGATGTTTCATCTCCTGATAGGAATCTGTGCTCAAACCACATCTATGTTTTCATTATCGTCTTGTAGTTCCAAAAACTGTGAAAATGAAACAATTAATGTAGCTGAGATACCGTGTTAGTGTAGGGTTATGAACAGCTTATCTCTGCCAAGGCACTTCATCAGTTGCACATCCTCATATTCTTCTTAGCCATTTTACACGTTCTCTACAGCTTCTTAACCATGATGCTTGGGAGGCTAAAGGTACTTAGAAAATTCGCTTCTTTGGACATTGTCAGCCTTATTTTTTCAGTAATTATAAAGAACGTGGGTCTTTTCAGATGCGTGGATGGAAGCATTGGGAGAAAGAGAAATCATCCACGATTACGAGTTTTCAACAGGTGATCAAATGTAAAATGGATGTTTAGAAACAGAGTAATCACACAACCACAAGTTTCAGGTATGCTTAGAAACAGAGTAATCACACAACACAACCACAAGTTCTCTCCTTTCTGATTCCATATTTTGCTAAATGCCCTACGGCATCGACGGTTAGGTCTTCTTTGTCCGTACGGTCATTGCAGCGTTATAAAGCCACAGGACATTCGATGAGATACGAAGGGCTTGAACCTGAGACATCATCGGATCTAGACACTGACAACGAGGCTTTGACTCCACCTATGTCCCCAAATGTCGAGCTTGTTGTGAAGGTTGAACAAGATTAGATGGAGACCAAGACCGGTGAGACTAGCCGTGCCGGTGTAAATCATTCTAAAGAGTTCTCTTTTGTCAAGCCTGCACCGAGTAAAGAACCATCGTCGCAAGACCGATGAAACTGATTCCAAATGGTTCTATTTTGTCAAGCCTCCGCTGAGTAGAGAACCATCGTAGTAAAGAATCGTTACTGCGGAGATTTATTCATCTAAATGCTTTTGTAAATCAATGCCATGGTGAAAAAGTAAAGTGTTGACGACCATATTAATGAACTAAATTAGTGTTTGGTCTTTTGCCATTGCTATTGTTCGTTCATAATTAGGTGATTGTATTTGAAAAGTGAAAACTGAGAAGACGACTACGATTATCCATATGCATTCTAAGAAATTATATACGTTGTATACATACTTAGGTTTTTTTGTTTTTGCTCATATGTATAAGTTAGGAATCTTGCTCATATGATATTTTTGATCATTTACCCGACTTATCAGTAGCATACAAGTGCTGATAGGGATCATGTGGTTGGATGTCATAATACATGGCTGTACATTTCAAATGTGTTTTTGTACATTATATACTTATACATGCTATATTTGTTTTTCTATTTTTTTTTTCATTACTTCCCTTTTAAAATATTTTATTCTGTTACTAATTTTCCCTAATAAATGTTTACATAGTTGGAAAAAAATTAGACTATATAGACATGATATCTCAGAAACAATTAATAAATGAATCATTATAGTAATTAACATTATAATATATAATACATTATGTTTTCCATTTTCACCAAACCATAACTGAAGAAGAAAAAAAAAGACTCAATTCCGCCTACTATGTTTTTTCTTATTTTTTGTTTCTTTTGTAAAAATCTTTTAAAAAAAGTGGTGGGTAAGACTTGACCTATGAAGAATGGTGAGCAAGAGGTAGATGTAATAAATTGTAACGCTTTCAAGATGTCACATTCACACTCACGAGAGTCACAAACCCATGAAACTGCTCTTTTTTTTTTTTTTTTTTTTTTTTCGTAAACTGTCTCTACGTGGATATAATAAGATACGCACGTATTTAATCACCGTTTTTGTTATTGGTACACTCACAGGTCCACAAAAGGAACAAATAAGATACAAATAAGATAAAATCTTCAATAACTTCAAATTAGAAGGTATGCATTAATGGGAAAGAAAGTAAATGCAATGTACGTACAAAATAATCCCTGAAAAAAATAAAACTAATTCTATTTAAACAAAGAGAACAAGATTCTTTTTCGTAGTAACTAAGGAGAAAATGGCAGGCAAGATGGGGTCATTTGCAGAGCAAAGCAGAGAGAGGCTTCTCTCGAGGAAAGGATGCTCAAGCAAATGCTTCTGCGGGATCGCCAAATTGTATGATCGCAAGAAGCTCTTTTTCGCCGTCAAGATGGGAACCGCTCTCGCCGTTTGCTCATTGGTCATTCTCTTGAAAGAGCCGTTGCATGCTGCCAGTAAATTCTCTGTCTGGGCCATCCTTACTGTCGTTGTGGTTTTCGAGTACTCCGTAGGTATTTTATTCGTTCTCGTTTTTGTTTTTTTTTTTTTTTACGATTGATTCGGTTTTTAGACCGATTGTTTACTTTTTTATGAAGCCATTGGTTCATGACTTCATCATACATTTGGGATCTTACTGATTCCTCCTTTTTTTTTTCTTCATTTTGAATTGGTATTACTTGTTGAGAATGCTTAAAAAAGTGGTCTAAACTGCGCCTATGCTTAGGCATTGATAGGCTATGCCGGTTATAACTTAACTATTGGAACTATACATTCTTGTTAGTTGTTATTAACTTATTAATCGGTCACCGGCCCCTCAACATGACCGTGGTTATAAGCGGTATTAGACGGCTCTACACAACCGTGAATCAGTTATTATTTAAGTTATCATTTGTTTGTTTCCATCTAATTGTTTTATTTTTTCTAGTCACAAATTAGAGAATTACAATTTATTAACTTTGAGTTCATAACTTACGGTTATCCAAGTATGTTTTTGTTGTTTGATGTACATGAATTGATTTGATGGTTAGTCTATGCTGAGCTTTAACAAGCTTAATAAACTGATAAAAAACAATTATAGTTAATTGTGTATAGATACATTATTGTTGAAATTTAAAATTCGTGATCACATGAATGTTTTTTTCTAACTCTCATTTGTGATACCTTTTAAGTATTTTTGATATTTATTATACTTTTGTTTTGTATGTTTGATTGTAGTTTATCTATGTTTTGAATCCATTTTAAAAGTTTGGAATAATAAAATGTTATTATCTACAAATCATTTTATTTCATAGTATATATTATTTTATTTCGTAAACGCATAAATCATCTAATACCGGTTAGGTCTGGATTGGGCGTTGTAGACATTAGACGTTTAGTTGTCACTCGCTTAAGAAATAATGCTTTTTTGAACGCTTCTTACTAAATTGCATTTTACTGTTCTATTCACATTTTCAGCATTTTATTTGCTCGTTTGGTCGCTTAGATTTCTCTTCAGCCTGAGATCTTTGGAATAATATCTCCTTGTGGACATGCACTGATCTTATTCATCTCCATAAGGACCTTAACTCATGTTTAATTTGTAGGAGCAACTTTGGTCAAAGGATTCAACAGAGCTATAGGGACATTCTCTGCTGGGGGACTTGCTCTTGGCATAGCGAGGCTCTCTGTTTTGTCAGGAGGTTTCGAGCAAGTCATCATCATAATCTGTATTTTCCTTGCAGGTTTCTTCATTTACTTGTCTCCTACGTGAGGTTTTGGAGATGGATAGTAACATTTCTCTTTTGACCATGATCTATCAGGTTTCAGTGCTAGTTATTTGAAACTCCACCCGGCCATGAAGCCATATGAATATGCATTCAGAGTGTTCTTGTTGACATACTGTATCGTTCTTGTTTCGGGAAACAACACCGGAGATTTCTTCAGCACTGCGTATTACAGGTCTTTGTTTATTGTGCTTGGTGCAACCATCTGTTTGGTTTTGAATATATTCGTATTTCCAACATGGGCCGGGGAAGATCTCCATAAACTGGTGGCTAATAACTTCTTGAGTGTAGCAAATTCTCTAGAAGGTATAAACAAACATAATAACTTTGCAATTTATTTTTGTATATCCGTTGACTGGTTTTCAGGTTTTGTTTTATCCTTAACTAAACATTTAGGATGTGTTAATGGTTACTTGAAATGTGTGGAATACGAGAGAGTACCTTCGAAGATTCTCACGTACCAAGCTTCAGATGATCCATTATACAGCGGGTACAGATCCGTTATTCAATCTACAAGTCAAGAAGAATCTTTGGTATGTTTGTAGCTGAGACAACTAGCTAGCTAAACAAGAATTTGGATGATTAATGATTTTAAGTATTAAGATCTCTTTTTGCAGCTAGATTTTGCGATATGGGAGCCTCCACACGGACCTTACAGAACGTTTAACCATCCCTGGAAAAATTATGTGAAACTTAGTGGAGCACTAAGGCATTGTGCTTTCACGGTCATGGCAATGCATGGTTGTATTCTTTCAGAGATACAGGTTCCTTATTCTAATTTTATACAGCCCAAATAAGATGTTTCAAAGCTTACAAGTTATTGTTTTTTGCTTGCATATGGAATAGATCGTGGACAATTAATCGAGCTTACAATTTGATTTCGGTTCGGTTTACTCGGTTTGGATTTATTTTTTGGTTTTTTCTAAAAAGTAAAAACATAGAAACTACAATTGTATTTCAGTTTGCTTTTGGTTCGAATTTTTTTATTTAAAAAAAATAAAAATAAAATAGAAACAGTTAATGATTTATTTTGAAATGTATCATTCAATACCTATCCTGTATAATGAAATCTTAAGTTTTAATTTTTTAATGGTATTTGGTTTATAATGTTCGGTTACAACGAAACAATTTCGATTTTTTGGATTTTCAATACTGATATTAATAAATGGTTTGTAAAATAGATTTTGTTCTGGTTTAACTAGTTTCGTTTGGTTTCGGTTCAATTGGTTCCGTTTGGTTTATAGTATAACTTGCCCATGATATGAAACAATGTCTATATTCCTCTTACATGTTGATGTAATGAGCTCTGTGATCTGGCAGGCAGCTCCAGAGAAAAGACAAGCTTTCAGTAATGAGCTTCAAAGAGTTGGTCATGAAGGAGCAAAAGTTCTGCGTTTGATTGGAGAAAAAGTGGAAAAAATGGAGAAGCTAAGCCCCGTAGAGATCCTCAAGGACGTTCAAGGAGCAGCAGAGGAGCTGCAAATGAAAATAGACAGTAAATCGTATATTCTTGTCAACTCAGAAAGCTGGGCGGCTATCAAAGAGCAAGCTGAAGCAGAAGAGCCTCGAGAGGACGATGAGACCAAAGTGATTACATCACTAAGTCAGATTTGGGACACCAACAGTAGCAACAACAATCAGAATCCACCAAGTGGTAATGATTCTCAAGTATGGATATCAGCAGAGAGTATGATGTTAAGGAACCGCGAGACGTGGCCAAGCGTGTCCTTCATTGGTGGTTCAATGGTGAATGAGATAGAATGTAAAGTATACGAAAGCGCGAGTTCTTTGTCACTGGCTACGTTTGCTTCCCTTCTGATTGAGTTTGTTGCGAGGTTACAGAACCTTGTAAAAGCCTTTGAGGAGTTAAGCACAAAAGCAGATTTCAAAGATCCCGTTGATCAGAATATATACTCTTAACATGGTAGATCAAGTGGGTTTGTGGACCAGACTCAAGAGATGTCTTAGCAGAAACTGAAACTGATGAATCCTGTGAAAGGGTGAACGGGATGTTTTTGTGTCTTGATATGTGTATACTTAATCAAATATTAAGCGTTTAGCTCATATGGTAAATGTTGTCTGAATTTAGGTTCATAGAGATCTTAACCATGTTTAAAGAAAAGGGATTTTTTTTTCAATACTTGTCCAATACTTTGTCTCTCCTTTTGGAGGTTAGATAATGACGCTAAATTATAGGTTATTTTTAGGAAAATAACTCTTTATTGAACATGTAATTTGTTGTTTGGTTAATAAGAAAATATGTAATATGTCCCTGATAAATGAAATAGATCGTAACACATACACACACACAAAAGTAGAACAACTGTTATGTTTTCATAGCACCATTGATACGATCCTAGGTTACCAGCTCTGAAGAAAAGGCAACAGAGGTGGCGATATAAATGGCCAGAATAAAACGATGAGGCGATAAGATGGTGGTGGTGACACGTTGATGACTCGATGGGCTGGTGATGGTGGTTGCAGCGATCGGATCAATGATGATGATCGATGCGATGAGAGGTGATGGTGGCAGGCGGATCGGCGATGATTTGAGATGGTGGTTTATGAACGCATCGATGGATCGAGATAGTGGTGTGTGGCTCGTCGCGAAGGGATCGTGAGAGGGATGTGATGGTGATAGCAGAATCTCTTGTAACAGTTTAGTTTAAGAGATTCGAATTTCAGAGTTTTCTATTTCTCAGAAATCAAAAGAGAGAAGAACACGTTAAAAGTTGGCTAAAAATTCTTCACTGAATAACACTTAGACGATTTTCTCTCTTAAATAGACTTAGAGAGAAATCGCAGCCCTAAGAAACAAACTAAATGAAGTTTGAAATAAAAACAACAAGAAATTTGATTAAAAATAAAACAGCGAGGCGTCCTTTCTAAATCCTAAGTGGTGCGCCTAAAATACTAGTGCACAAGTCATTGTGACTTTGCACATTATTACCCATTAGTAACAACTTCTAAGTAACTCGACGTAGCAATGATTTCTGCCTCGTTAAAAACCTTGGAGAAGAACCTTCTTCCTTCCAAAATCCTCACCAAGGAAAAGAGTACAGAATCATCACCTAAGTTACCTAATCATTGTTGCTGGGTTCTTCATTCTTCAAGATAGAGATGTTGAAGATGTGAGCTCCAGCCTTTAGTTGATCGCTGTCCTCTGCTGCAATGAGAGCGTGAGCCTCCTTAGCCATCTCTCTAGCTCTGGAACGAGTGATTCTGCCAGCTACCTCTGGTTCCTCCTCCTCTGAGCTTGTCATGATCATATCATCCTCTCCCTCTTGAAAAGGATTTGTCCTCAAATCTGAATCTGCAACATAAGGAAGCAAGTCAGAAACATTGAAAGCATCAGAAACATCATACTTACCTTGAAGATCAATCTGATAGGCGTTGTTGTTGATTCTTTTGATGACTGCGAATGGTCCATCAACTCTGGGCATTAGCTTGTTCTTTCGTTCAGCTGGAAATCGCTCCTTCCTCAGATGGATCCACACCAGATCTCCTTCTTCGAAAATCAGCTCATTTCGTCCTTTGTTGGCATGTTTCTCATACTGCTTAGTGTTTTTCCTCGATGTTCTCCTTAGCCTTAGCATGTATTCTTCGGACCTGTTCAGCTTTCTCCTTGCCATTCAAACTGCATTTTCCATTTAAAGGCAAAGGGATCAAGTCTAGAGGTGATTGTGGATTAAACCCATATACAATTTCAAAAGGAGAAAAGAGAGTAGCGGAATGCTTAGCATGATTGTAAGCAAACTCGACATGAGGCAGACACTCTTCCCATGTCTTGAGGTTACTTTTCACCAAAGTCCTTAGAAGTGTGGACAACGTTCTATTCACCACCTCGGTCTGTCCATCGGTCTGAGGATGACACGTAGTTGAGAATGAGAGCTTTGTTCCCAGCTTAGCCCAAAGCGTTCGCCAAAAGTGTCCTAAGAACTTCGTGTCTCGATCTGAAACGATAACCTGTGGCATTCCATGCAAATTTACTACTTCCCTGAAAAACAAGTTAGCTACATTCACAGCATCATTTGTCTTGTGGCTAGCGATGAAGTTGGCCATCTTGCTAAACCTGTCAACAACTACAAAAATAGAATCTCTACCATTTCTGATTCGAGGTAAGCCAACTACAAAATCCATAGCGATATTAGTCCAAAGTTGAGAAGGAATAGGCAAAGGAGTATACAAACCGTGAGGTTGAACTTTACTCTTAGCCATCTTACATACGACTCATCTAGAACAGATTTTCTCAACGTCTTTCTTCATGTTCGGCCAGTAGAAGTGCTCTTGTAGCCCAAGAAGTGTCTTTGTGACACCGAAATGTCCAGCTAATCCACCTCCATGAGCTTCTCGTACCAGTAACTCTCGGGTGGATCCTCGTGGTATGCACAGTCAGTTACTGAAGAACAAGTATCCATCCTGTCTATAAAATTTCTCACAGGCAAACTTATGACATTTGGCATAGCTCTCAGAAAAGTCAGTATCAGATTCATAAAGATCTATAATATGCTCAAATCCAATCAACTTTGACGTTAAGGTAGAAATAAGAGTGTACCTCCGGGATAATGCGTCTGTGACCACATTATCTTTACCTTTTTGTACTTAACAACGTAGGGGAATGTCTCAATGAACTCCATCCATCGCCCATGTCTCTTGTTAAGCTTCTGCTGACCCTTGAGAGATTTTAGAGACTCGTGATCGGTATGAATGATGAATTCCTTAGGCCATAGATAATGCTGCCACGTCTGGAGAGCTCGAACCAATGCGTATAACTCCTTGTCATACGTGGGATAATTCAGCATTGATCCTCCTAACTTTTCGCTGAAGTAAGCGACGGGCTTCTTATCCTGCATAAGAACTGCTCCAATACCTACACCAGAAGCATCGCATTCAATCTCAAAAGTCTTAGTAAAGTCAGGAAGTACTAGTAAGGACGAATTGATAAGCTTCTCTTTAAGGGCTGTAAAAGCCTGTTCTTGCGCCTCTACCCACTTGAACCCCACATCTTTCTTGATTACTTCTGTTAAGGGCGCGGCTATGGTGCTGAAATCACGAACAAAACGCCTGTAGAATCCTGCTAAACCATGGAAACTCCGAACTTCTCCAATATTCTTAGGAGTTGGCCACTCCTTGATAGCTTTTATCTTCTCTTCATCTACTTTAACTCCTCCTGCACTTACTACAAAGCCTAAGAAAACATTTTTGTTAGTGCAGAATGAACATGTAGATAAATTAGCAAAGAGAGATTGAGAGCGAAGAACATCAAGAACCGATCTGATGTGATCTAGATGTTCTTCCAAATCTTTACTGTAGATGAGGATATCGTCGAAATAAACCACTACGAACACGCCAATGAATGGTCTCAGGGCATGGTTCATTAATCTCATGAAGGTGCTGGGAGCATTGGTGAGACCAAACGCATAACTAGCCACTCGTAGAGTCCTTGCTTTGTCTTGAATGCCGTCTTCCATTCGTCTCCTTCTTTCATTCTGATCTGATGATACCCACTCTTCAAATCTATCTTCGAGAAGAGTGTCGATCCACAGAGCTCATCCAGCATATCATCTAGTCTTGGAATCGGATGCCTATACTTCACAGTGATGTTGTTGATAGCTCGGCAGTCTACACACATTCTCCAGGAACCATCCTTCTTTGGCACTAACAGAACTGGAACCGCACATGGACTCAAGCTTTCTCGGATATGGCCTTTGCTCATCAGCTCCTCCACTTTCTTTTGCAGCTCCTTAGTCTCTACAGGATTGGTTCGGTATACTGGTCTATTAGGTAATGCTGATCCTGGTACCAAATCGATCTGATGCTCTATCCCGCGAATTGGAGATAGCCCTGGTGGAATTTCTACCGGAAAAACGTCCTTATATTCCTGCAAAATCTCAAACATAGCACTAGGAAGCTCCTGTGAAGGATTAGTACTAACAAGGGATTCCTTGTACACAAACATAAAAGTAGTCATTTCAGGATCAAAGAGTTTAGAAAATTCACTGTGGTTTATGTAGAGGCTGTTGGCGACTTTCTCCTTTTCCTTGAGCTTCATCTGAATCTGATCTTGGTAAATCTCGGTATGCGTGAGAGGTAGGAGGGTAATTTTGCGACCTTTGAACTCGAATGAGTGCTTGTTGGTATAACTGTCGTGTATCACCCTACGATCTGATTGCCACGGTCTGCCTAGCAACACATGAGTCGAACCCATGGGAATAACATCACATAGAATCTCATCTTCATACTTCCCAATAGATAGAGAAACCATAACTTGCTGAGATACGGTCAAGGCTCCACTGTCATTCAACCACTGAAGCTTATACGGTCTTGGATGAGGAATAGTCTTGAGCTGGAGCTTCTTAACCATATCTTCGCTTGCAGCATTAGTACAACTTCCTCCATCTATGATCAGGCTACAAACTTTCTCTTTAATGAAGTATCTCGTATGAAACAGGTTCTCTCGCTGACAAGTCTCTTCAGGATGACTCTGAACACTCAAAGTCCTTCTGGCAACCAGCATCTCGCCCACGACAGCAGCTTCTTCCTCTTCCTCTAGTTCATATTCGGCCTCTGAGTCCTCTTGAGGAACTATCTCTCCTCCCTCTTGTAACAAGAAAACCTTCTTGTTTGGACAATCTCGAGAGTAATGTCCCATTCCTTGACATTTGAAACACCTCACATTGCTGATAGAAGTACCACTTCTAGGTTTGAACTAAGCTTTAGCTTCTTCTTTAATTCCAGTAGAGGGTGGTTTGATGTCTCTGGAGTAAGCTGGTTTTCTGATCTCCTTAGGCTTAGGCACACTAGGCGTGAATGTGGATTTGATGATTCGCCTCTTGACTTGAGATTCCACCAATTCAGCCTTATGCACCATCTCTTGTATATCTGCGAAATCCTGAAGTTCCACCTTGTCTTGAATTTCTCGATTAAGTCCTCCAAGAAATCTCGACATTACCATCTCTTCTCCTTCTCGTAAATCTGCACGAATGAGCAAAGTTTCCAATTCCTGATAGTAATCTCGAACAGACTTAGTCCCTTGGACGAGGCGCCTAAGCTTGTTGAGTATTTCGCGCTGATGATGGGCCGGAACGAATCTTTTCCTCATCTGTATAACAAGCTGATCCCAATTAGTAATCGGAAGTTCCCTAAGGCGATTTTTGGTGACTCCCAACTGCTCCCACCATAGAAGCGCATACCC